AATTTAAATCTCCCACTTACTAGTTCTGCAAGAACTGAGAAGTTTCTGTTATCTGAGCCTTGGCGTCTCAGTAAGATGGGAAACATAGATGCACTTTGCAAAACTGCTGTGAAAACTAAATCACAATACGAGGCAGCTGCGAGAAAGCCCTTGCTGCAGTGTCGGTCAAATCTGAACTCCCAAAATTTTATCTGAGCACTCAGTAGCTGTAACAGTACCTACAGCTCAATGAATCCGCTGCACTGACCATGAAGTATTAGGAGACCATTTTCTTCTCAGTAGGGGTGGGGTGGAGAATCTAACTAATAGCTATTAATATTAATATAACTACTATGCACCTACATGTTATCCCATTTTTTGGTCTTAAATATTTGCTGACATGGTTAATTTCCGTATAAGCTGCACCAGACAGATAATAAAACACTTTAATTGAAGAATAATCTGATTTTAATCAACAACTAAACATGGGAAACGTCTCTGGGATACTGTGAAATTAATATCTTGGGCTGTAAAGAAGTAGAATTTATTGCCAGCATGCTGGTGTATACCTATAGTTCTCGCACCTTGGGAGGCTGAGGCAGGCAGATCACAAACTCAAGGCCAGTCTGGGCAACGAAGCAAGACCCTCTTTCAAAACACAAAAAATAAGGGCTGAGGATGGAAGACAGCACAACCCCTAGTACTGGACAAGGAAAAAAAAAAACCTAGAAATTCTCAAAGTCATTATTATTGTAGGCAAACTTTGCTTTAAAGCTGGGCAACTTCCCTCAAAGGAATCTTGGGAAATCCTATCCTGTCACAACACATACACGCCGGATGTGAGAGTTTTTAATTATCACCCCACGGCTGCCTCCTCTCTCAGAAAGACAGTGCGGCTGTAGGTGACCATCAATCCACCCCACCTCACGTTTTAATTAAGTTGTTTCATTTATATGGGAAAATACAAAGACCCTCACCCAGGAGCATGGCCTGAACAACTGCATGTTTTTCTTTTAGTGCAGAGCGTTAAAACTTCAATCCCAAAGCCAAACCATTTATATACAAATCTGAAACATACAGTGTATTCTGTTTAGAGCTCTCTCTTAACAGCTTCTAAATATGAACTGGTCTTAAAGGGGACTAACCTGAAGCTTACCTAGGGAAAATTAGGTAAGTCTTTATTGAGGTCTTTATTGATGTCTAAAGATAACTGATTAGGAGTTCAAAATTTGTTAGCAATTCATAGTTCATGAAAACCACAAAGCGGTGTCCGTTTGATAGGGGTAATATTTAAACATTCTATTTAAGTAGTAACAACGTGGCCAGTGTTGGCCTTTAGCAGTGATGGCAAACCTTTTAGAGCTTTCAATGGTAACGCACAGCCCACTGTGGAAACCAGGCCATAAGTTCGCCACTACTGGTCTAAACTGAGAAAAACAATCCACTTTTGCTGTTTGGAGACAAATAATTTTACAAGTTTTGGAACTAGCAAAGTTAGGAGAATTCTTATTCCTAAAGAAGACCTCCCAGTATAACGAGAGGTGCTCAATTAGGGTACTGACTGAGGACTTAGCAACTGCACCCTGCTGTCGCCACTTCGCAACTGTGTGACCTTGAGGACCCACGAAGTGTGCACACCACTCACCCTGGAGAAGATCCCACTCTGCAAGAGGGCAGTGAAGCCGCTCTGAGCCACAGCAAGAGCTTTCACTTCTCCATCAGTATTCCTTTGTCCAGACTTTCTTTTTGTTGTTGTTGTGTCCAGACTTTCTGGATGACTTTTGTATGAATATGCCAAAAGTGCTTGATGCTTTTAATAAGACTGAGTTAAAAAAAAAAATCAAGGGAACAATTTCACATTTCTTCAGATACCACTTATCTGTCAGGGCAGAGTAATGCAGAATAAAACCAAGGAAAGCTGGACAATGCTACAGGGCCAGAGGCCATTTCTTTCACAGCTTTGGTGGGGTGCTTCCATACTATTCCCCCCCTTTTTTTTGCAAATGTACAAAACTGGATAAATTTTCCATAAAGCCTCTTAAGGTTTTTCTGTTCTTCCTTCGTTTTTGCTTGTATGTGAGGTATCAGGGCTTGGAGGTTTTGGAGGTAGAACTCATGGGCATAAACTTGTTAACTTGACCAGATTATAGGTTTGGTTTCCTCTTCAAGTTTAACAGTTTAAGGGACACAGAATGTCCACAATGGAAGAAATAGTGATATAACGCAGATTAAGTAAAAAAGTCAACATTTACTGCATGCTTATGATGTGGCTAGTACTTTGTCAAACTCTGTATTTAATTAGATCTAACTGATCAAGCTGATGCCCGATTATCTCTGTCAAACTCAACTAGGCTGCTGGATTCTGGGAGGCGGGCCCCGAGCTCTTTTGAGAGCGGACAGAGGAGGTGCTGCGGTGTGAGCTCCCCAAGAGCTCCACAGGCCCTCGAACTCCTGCAGCACCTCAGCCCCGCATGCGTTCCCCCTGCTTCGAGGCACCTTGTTGTACCTTAGGCCAACGCGAATTCTTCATATGCATTCCCAGCACCTGGGGGGCACAAAAACTCAAAGGAAAGTGGAGCAAATGCTCTTAACTGCCCCTCTTCCTTCTCTTGGGGTTCTCCTTTCTCAGCTATGAGCAGAAAATCATGGTCTTCAGAGAAAGTGGCACAGGGCTGCCTGGAAAGACAGCCACTGCCTCGGCGGAAGGCCAGCAAGAGAGAGCTCTTTTGTCCTGCTCAAGGGCCTCTGAGGACAGGCACGGCCACACGCGTGGGTAACAGGGCCTTGGCACACAGGCAGGTCTTTGCGGCGTTAGCACAAGGAGTGTTAAAGGATGTGCATATCCACACATGCGCACACACACACGAACCCAACAGAGACCGTGCCTAGTACAATGGGTGGCACATGGCAGCGCCGGACGGATGTTTTCTCCCCACTCCTTTTCTCCAAGGAAGCACTTAGGATGCTGAGAAACAGTGCTTTCGTTACACCTGGTGTCAATGAAGTTTCGCCCCTCTGATTATTTAGTTTAATCATTCCTCAGATCTCTAGGGACTTATCATACATCATTTAGGTGATATGCAACTAACTTGAAGCAGTCCGGTTACTTAGCTGCTGAAAAGCCATAATCAACCGAAAGGTTACAACCTCTGGACCAACTATTGCTACCTTTGGAAATGTTAACATCTGAAAAGATCCCAGGGACTCCTAATAACAACTTCTTGAATCTGTTTAAAATGCAAATGGAGGTTTTATTAAATTAGGCTGTAGGTTACACTGACAGTTCCCATGGGCTGGATTTCAGCGTAAGCGCAGAACTGAGCAGAAATGACCATTTGCTTTCCACAAACACAATATCCTTTGGGCATTTAGCAAACTAAAGGAAACTGTACCTAGTTTTGTGTCTACTTCTTCTTAATCAAAACCCTAAAATCACTACAAGAAATCACGACAGAACAATAGGCAATATCAAGTCATAGCACTATTAACTATTACTTGTTATTTATGTACACAGGGAGATATTCCAAAATTAATCTCTACTCAGGAAACTAGTAAACAGAATTATAAATGTGCAGTAACTAGAAACGGTATACCATTCGATCTTAAGGCAGTGCTGGTTGAGTCTTCTCTGGTAAAGTATCACATAGTTCAAAGACCAGTGTATGATTTTAAACAATTAAAACAAATACTGAAATAATGCTTTGAGAAAGAAACAGGGTTGATTTTAAGACTCCTACAAAGTGAATTTGCATTGGGATTTTAATTTGGGATTAGAAAGTATACACAGGAACATAATGATATAAAGATACAGCAGTTTCTCCTCAAATACAAAATAAAGACACATAGAAATTACTATTATTTTTAGTTAGTACTCTTTGGGCTCTTTGTCACTTATTGTTGCATTCTTAGTAGTTATTAGAAAATTCTGCTGATGTGTGTTTATTTAATTTTTGTTTTGTTGAGACACAGTCTTGCTATGTAGTTCGGGCTGGACTAGAACTTACTATGCAGTCTAGGTTGGCCTCAAACTTGCAGGGATCCTCCTGCCTCAGCTGCCCAAGTGCTGGGATTACAGGCATGAGCCGCCTGGCTTTGCTGATGTTTAAACAAGTGGTCAGGTTGAATTTTACCTGAGTGAAATGGTTTCAAACTGCATTTCATAATTTATCATTATAGGCCGGGCATGGTGGTGCACACCTGTAATCTGAGCACTTGGGAGGCCAAGGCAGGAGGATTGTTGCGAGTTCAAGACCAGCCTGGGCTACAAAGTGAGCTCAAGGCCAGCCTGAACTGCATAGGAGACCCTGTCTCAAAAAGACAAAAAAAAAGAAAAAAAATATTATCATTATGCTGTGATTTTACCACTGCATCCTTAATGCTGGGTTTGCTTACCTGGCAGACTGCCCCAGTCACAGCATCCCAAGCATCTGTGCTAACCCTAAAAGGATGACATCTATTGTGGCTCAAAAAAGTCATACTTTGATTAAAAAATATTTCAAAGCTTTTAATAAACACATTTGGGGGTTTGTTTTCCCCCAAAACAATAGCTTGTTTTGTTGGACTTTCCTGGTTAAGCCTGAACACTGCTGTTAGTTGCTTTACACATCCAGTGCTACACGCTGACAGGACAACTATGACATGAAGAACAGATTTAAAACAACAACAATCACCTCTACAAAACGTTCAAAGGAAAAGCTCTCACATGGTGCTGAGAACTAAGACGTAGGCACTTCTGCTTCAGAGGTTTTCACATTTGGATCACACGCAGCTTTCCCAAGCCATTTTCTTTCACTACTACTGGAAATTCTCTTGTGTTGCACAAACCGTCCAGCTCACTGGAAAGCTTGTTCTCACAAACACCCTTCTGGTGCATTCATCTTCTTTTCATAAGATGCTGTCCAGTGAAAGCAGAGATCGATCCGTCCACGGCAGCGCGCAGCCCCTGCCTCCCTAGCAGATGCTCTGGGACTTCTCCAGCGAGGCTGCTTGCTCTGCGGGACCAAGTCATCCACCGGCAAAACACAAAGGGGTGTCAAGTGCAATTCTCTGACATGTCCGCCGCTCTCTACTCCTTATTGTGAATGTAATCCAACGACATGTACAGCCTTCATCACATTCTAACGCTACTGGGCTACTGGGATTTTTAAAAATGATGCTTAAAGAGTTTTGCTTTTTCTTTTTCTTTTCTCCAGGAAACCTTTGCTAAAAAGGCACTAGATAAAATGAATTTCCTCACTCTTGTTGATAGCAATTACACATTGTATTTGCTTCTGCGACTGAGTGAAGGTGACACATATTTGGATAAAACAGCCGAATTATTGAGATTCACCTACTTTCATTTAAAAAACAGACTCCGAGGCAGAGGCACAGCAGGCCACACTGAGGAAGACCAGCAGGTCCACGGAGTCCCCGCGGTCAGCCTCTGGCGCCCCGGAGCTCTGCGCTGCTGCCGACTCTGGCCCTGGCTGCAGGAGGGAGCTCGGCCTCGGAGGGGGGCCCGGCGGTGGCCCGGCTGGGGCGGGGCTCACTGGCAGCAGCTGTGGGAGCCAAGCCTCCTGGAGACCTGAGTGAAAGAGACGAAGGTGAAGTTCTCACAGTTTTCCAGCTTGACCTTCTTGGCTAAGTTGGGGACAATTCCCCGGAGAGACCGCAGTCCCATCCTCTGCTCCTCATACCACACGCTGCCCATGTCCGCGGCCTCCTTCCTGGCCGTCAGGTAGAAGGGGGACTTGGCCTCCATTTGGGTGGGCGGCCGGTGGATGTACATGTACTTGTAGAGGAGGCAGTACGGGCACTGCTTGTGTCCCCGGGAGTGCTCATGGTAGATCTTCCCGTGACACACTCTAGTGGAACCGCTCCGACTCTCCCGCTTGACGCTGTCTGTCCGGGCGAAGTAGGGCTGGTTCTGTGCGTCTTTGAGCAGTTCGATGTCACCGTACATCAAATCCGCGTGCTCCTGCAGCGTCCGCATGTTCAGGTACTGGCTGTTGTACTTGACCACAGTGGACAGGAGAGTGATAGGGCTGTCGTCCCCTAGACACCCCGCCTGCCACATTTCCTCCTCGTCGGACAGGGAGAAGTAGACGATGTTCCGAGAACGGGCACCCGACATCCCTGCCTTACTCAGCACCCACAGCTTCTCCTTGAGTTTCTTGGTAGAAGAACTGAAGGTGCTGCTGGTGATGGAAAAGCCCACACCTGCGTTCTTCAGGATGCGGTCCAAGCCTCGGCGGATGGCATGGAGCGAGGTGGCCAGGAAGTCTGAGCCGTCACTCTTCTTAACGGTGACGTAGAAGTTTTCGAGCAGCTCATTCAACTTCACTGCAGGGATCTCGAATGAGACAAACACTGAAGTTATACATTTGAGGATAGCTACACAGCCAGACCCCTCCTCCCTTCTAACCTTCACTGGGGCTTCTCTGTGGACAGGACGCTTCGTGGCCTCCTCAGGGCTGACCCCTTAGCATAACAATAGAAAGAGCAGCGCATTTCAAGCTGGACGATCTAGCTTCTATATTTGGCTCCTGCTAATTTTTTTAAATCTTAACATTTCAATCTGCAAAGTAGGGCGTAATAATGGATACCTCAAAGGACTGTGGTAATACGTAAAGCAGTGGACTATGAAGGGGTTTGTAAATAGGAATAAACACACACACCTGACGACATACGTGCATAGATGAACCTACAAACACATTATTATTGTACTTTTGTAACTTCATTATTCCTCTCTGGAAGGGCCTTCTCTTTGCTTGCAAGTCATTTGCCGCCTTCCCCTTTAATAGCTCTGGCATTAATTCCCGTGATCTCTGCACTCACTGCTCCCGCTGTCACTAAGCACGGCGCTGTGGAGCACAACTGACACGCCTGCTCTGTGCTGCGAGTTAACGCCTCCTGCTTTTCCACTTGAATTTATCTAAGTAGGTCCTGAAATATCTCTGGCTTAATAAACCGAGGGGTTTCAATGTCAGTATTTGTTTAAAAGATCTGAAAAAGAATTAATGACTATATTTCATTTTTCTAATCCCATCTGATCTGTATCACACTGAAAAAGTATATAAATATAAACATAAACTTCTCTAAGTAAAATATAGACACCTTTCATTTTGTACATAATTTAATGTTACATAAAATGTGTGTACATTAATACCATGGAAAGCAAGGAATAGCTCTGATATGTACAAGTTTCAGGTGACGTAGTACATCATAAAAGAAAGACTGCCTGTGTTCTCACGTCACAGGCAGGACTACAGTACACTAATCCAAATAGGCGGGGACGACTGAAGTGGGAGGATTGTTCAGTCTTACATATTATAATGTAATTGACATTTGTACATTAAGAAGAAAGGGGGCCGGGGATGTAGCTCAGTGGCACAAAGTGCCTGCCTGGCAAGCCCAAGGTCCTGAGTTCGATTCCCGGTACCAAAAAAAAAAAAGAAGAAGAAGAAAGGTAATATGAACTTAAGTAATACTGAAAAATTATTTGGAAAAATATGACATCCATTTCAAATTTTTAAAAATTTAAATTAAATTGAGATTAGAAGGAAAAAATCCTTACTACAATGAAGACTATTTTAAGGCCAAGAATTATAAAAATTATACCTAAATAAAAACATTAAAGTCGTTTTATAAAGTCAGGGACAGATTAAGCAGGCTGAATATCATTGTTCTCACGTGGTAATGTGCTGGAGGCACCAAGAAGGACAACAAAAAGAATCTTTACACACACGCACTCATGTACACACCCCAGCATATACAGGACAGGAAAAAGACAGATGTTTTCTTATAATCTGATTGTTAGTCTAGGAAACTCCAAGACATTCAGCTGAAAAGCATCAGAGTATGTAGTATGCAAAATAAAAGAACAGTTTTCTTATGTCTCAGCAATAACCAGTTAAAATAATTTCCCAATAACTACACTCAAATTCAGCAGGCTTCGGATGTTTTTCTTGTCACTTGCAAAACTTCCTACTTGTAGGCGATAACCTCTCTTTACATTAGCTGCGACTTCTTTGGTTTCCAGTGAAACATCAATTGGAGCAAGCGTAAGCAAAGAGGCTATCAGACTTGGTAGACTCCAAGGCCAGGAGGACACGGTCTCTCATCTCTGCTTCTCTGTAAAGACTGGGTTTCATATAGCTGAAATCAAGGCCAAGTACCTCTCTTCAATGTTTGTATCTTCAAGCTTCATGTATTAGAAAGAGATCAGCTCTCACTTTCAGTAGGAAAAAAAAATCCAAAAGGGAAGGTCTATCAGCCTATCGCTAATCTAAACAACCCGCCTGAAAGTGGTCCACCACACTTAATGTGATGGCTTTTGAAACAAGCATGTGGACTGCAGGACAGTAAAAGTGCGCAAATAACTAATTCTAAGAAAAATCGTATTTTTTATTTTACTGCCTCAAACAAAACCATGAAACAAAGACGAGCTGTGTTCAAGGACTGAATAACAGTATTTTTAAAGTGCCAATAACTCCCAAATTATCTATAAATTTAGCATTATCCCTATCAAGACCCCAGATGCATGGAAAGTTGATCCTAAACTTCATATGGAAATGTTTAAGTGATTAAAAATAGCTAAAACATCTTTAAAAAGAACAAAGTTGGACAATCCACCCTTTTTAATTCAAAACTTACTACAAAGCTATAGATATCAAGACTGTATGTTCCGGGGACCATACATATAGCTAAGAATCCAGAAATAAATCCTCAGATAAAAAGACAACTGATTTCAATAAGAGGGCAAAATAACTTCATAGAAAAATAATCTTTTTAACAAATAGGGGCAGGGATATAGCTCAGCGGCACAGCGCCTGCGTGGCAAGAACAAGGTCCTGAGTTCGATTTCTGGTACCAAAAAAAAAAAAGGAACTCAACAAATGGTGCTATAGGATAACTGGATATTGTATACCAAAGACTGAAGTTGGATTTCTACCTCAAACACAAATTAACTCAAATTGGATCAAAGATCTAATGTGAGAATTAAAGCTCTAAATTCTTAGAGGCAGAAGAAAGGTAGCTGGGTGTTGTGGAATATGCCTGCAATCCCAGCACTCGGGAGGCTGAGGCAGGGGATCTCTGTGAGTTTAAGGCCAGCCTGGGCTACATAAGCAAGTTCAAGGCAGTCTACACTACACAGTGAGACCCTGTCTCCAAAAAAAGAAAGTAAACCTTCATGACCTTGGATTAGAAAATCGTTTCTTAGACTATTGCTTACGTACAGGTAATAGAAGGAAAAATAAATTGAAATTCATTAAAATTAAAAACGGCTTCAGAAAGCAGCACCAAGAAAGTGAAAAACAATGCACAGAATGAGAGGAAATGTTTACAGATCGTATAGCTCATATGGGACTTGTATTTAAAATATATAAAGAACTAGGATAACAGCAAGAAGATAATGCATTTTAAACATGGGGAAATGATCTGAGTAGACACCTCTGAAAAAAAAAGATAAATGAACAGCCAATCAGCACACAAAAAGATGCTCAGTCTCCTTAGATATCAGGGAATGCAAAGCCAAGCCACAAGGCATTCTCATTCACTCCCAAAAGGACGGCTAGAAATAAAACAACAATGATAATAACCAGTAGTCTTGAGAGTGTAAGGAAACCGGAACTCTCATATATTTCTGAAAGGAATATAAAATGATGCAGCTGCTGTGGAAACAGATTGGCAGCTCCCCAAAAGTTAAACCTGAAAGTACCTTATGACCAAGCAATTCCATTCCTAGTTATATGCCCAAGAAGACTGATAACGTCCCTGTAGAGATTTGAACACACCGCAGCTTTCATTGCAATAAATAGCTCAAATACAGAAACAACCCAAACGTCCACCAAGAAATGAATGGATCAATAAAATGTGGCATATCCATAGAATATGGATACTACTAGCCTTCAGCAATAAAAAAGAACAAATTACCAATCCATGTTCAAACACAGATGAACTTTGAAAATGTGATGGTAAGTGAAATAAGTCAGATACAAAAGGACAAGTCCGAGACAAAGGACACATATTTATGATTTGACTTATGTAAGGAACCCAGGCTAGCTATATTCACAGCAGTAGAACGTAGACTAGATTGCCAGGGCCTGAGGTCAAGCAGAAATGGAAAGCTATGGTTTAATGGGTACAGTTTCTACCGGAATGATGAAAGAATTCCGGGAATGAATAGTACCGATGGTCCTACGATACTGAGTGCAATGAACGCCACCGAACTGTACACTTAAAATGGCTAAAAGGGTAAATTTTGCTATGTGTACTTTACCATAATTATAAAAACCCAAATATGTCAGTAAAAGGCGACTATTTTCTTTTAATAATGAAAATAACTATTCATATCTACTACTACTAATTTTAAAATCCAACGATTCACACTGACTCCCAACACCAATGTTCCATGCCCACCAGCGTTAACGTTCTTCAGGTCACAGGGTCTTGCCTTTGGGATCCTGAAATTACTATGAAGACAGGTGCCTACTCCCAAAAACCTATACATTTCCTTGCAGGAATTCATGAGAAGGGCCTCATTTCTCCATATCCTTCATGATTTGGGTAATATCTACAACTTGCCCATAGACTGTGCCTTAGCCTCAATCCTAATACTTCCCAGTTGACCCCTGTGTTATCTACACAAATAATGAGTGAAGGAAAAAATATAGCCCAGTCTGCTGTAATCCACTCTCATAGGCCACGTGGGTTAAAAACTTCTTAAGAAAGAGGCCAGTGTTGTAGAGAATCAGCGAACAAGAAGAACTGGGGCATCAAGTGGCCATACCCTTTAATCTCATATTCTTGTTCTGCACGCGAGCCACACTGAGTGCAAGTGTGTCTTTAATACAGACACAGCTGGCAGGTAACAGCTCTTGATCGCAATTTGGCACCTGGTAACTCTCAAATTTAGTTGTCTGTTTAAGCTAAAAAAAAAAAAAAAGCCAAGTTTATGATTTGTGGTGAATCCTGACATGGCAAATCAACTTAAAGAGTGGTTACAGCAGTAAACTGGCTGTTTGCAAAGCTTTTATAACTGACTGCAGTCCTTGGAAACCTACAGAAATAATCACCAACCAAAAATAAGTCTGAAAAAAGTAAAAAGGCAGCCAATAGGGACCAGAATGAACTGTTTCTTGTGTATAAACAATATAAAGTTTGTGACTGACATTTCTCCTGGAATTGTTTTTGCTCTGATTTTACTTTGAAACTTGTGGCAGTCTGTGGAAATCAAGAAAAATGTTCTACCCTAAGTCTACCTGGTGTTCCAAACCTAAAGTTAACTCACTGGTTTAACCCACATTTATCATTTCAGGGGGTGCCAATTCAGGTCTATTTCGGGTCTTC